TTTTAATGATTAGAAATACATCTTCTGTTAAAAAATGAGAGGCGTGGATTGTTAAAAATTGTTTTTTTTAATATTTGCCACACCCCTTTTTATGTGGGATCTATACCAAATAAAGTATAATTTTCAGTATCAAAATTATATTTTAAATATTACGATTTCTATTGAAATTTTCACAGACATCAGGATTTAAGGGGACCCCTCCATTCACGGGGTCAAAAATGTTGTTGATATAATTCGAATCTTCACTAATTAAAGAAAGTCCCTAAAAAAATTTTAAATGAAAATCTCAAGAAGTCTCGAAGATATAGCCGATTTATTGTGTCAGCATCAAGTGACGGCTGAAGGGCTTCTCAAACTTTAAACGCGTTTTTCTCTAAACATTTTTTTGCGAATGGCGGGCACGATAACTCAAAAACTAATAACCCAATCGACTTCAAATTTTTACACGTTTCTCTGTGAGTGTGTAGCTATCGTATGAACTAGGATAAAGTCAATCGGTGAAGATCTTCCTTATTTTTTGACTTGGGTTTTGGTAAAAATTCGGCGATTTTCCAAAAATATTTTTTCAAAGGTCCAACATTTTGTTAATTTTAGAGCGAAGTCAATAATCCTAGTTCATACGAGAGCCAGACATGTACTCTTTCTAACACCGTTGGAATTTTCGGATTCCGATGTTCCAGTGAGGAGTTATCATGCCCGCCATCGAAAATAAGGGATTTTCTTTAATTACAAAAAACCTTAACAAGCATTGGTATTGATTTACCAGTCCATTGAAAATCTAGAAAAATTAATATCGAGATCCCTTAAATCAGAAGTTTATTATGATCAGGCAGAAGTTTACTCTGAACAATATTTTTTCAAGAACCAACATAACGTACTTTTGTTAAATAATGTTTTATTTTAAAAATATCACCAGGGTGAATTTTTAAAGAATATTTTGTTTCAAGGACCACTACAAGGTGTGTTTTTTTTAAATATTTTTGCAAGGACCAATAAAATAAGTAGATTTTTATAGAATATTTTTCAACGACCTAAGAAAACGTGGATTTTTAAAGAACACTTTTTGAAAGACCTCAACAGTGGGGATTAATATTTTTTTCAACGAAAAATTTTCAACACATAAAAGTCTGTTTTTTAAAAAATATATTTCTGGGTCCCAGAAAGGTGTGGGTTTTTAAAGAATATTTTTTCTGGGACCCATAAAGATGTGTGAGAATAGTTTTTTTTTCAAGTTGTTTATAAGAATTTATTTTTTCAGGTTTTTCAAAGAATATTTTTTCAAGGTTCCAAGATAGGCTTAGATTTTTATAGACTATTTTTAAGGGTATATTTTTCAAGGTCCTAAACAAGCGTGGATTTCCGAATAAATTTTTAACGTTGAATTTTTCATGTGATGCCATAGCCCTCAAGTAATAGAAACTCTCGGTTTCTTTTAATACTTTAAAATCCCTAGCCGAACAATCGAATCTATGCAATTTGGAATTTCGGTTTCTTTAAGGATAGAGCATGTTTTTACATTACACCCTGTAAATTTTATGTATTCCGACTTCATGGTGTAGGATATACGAATGTCGGCCCGGCTATAAATAACTGTTTATACTGTGCACAGTAAGTTGGAGTGTATTTGTTATTCCGTTTGTAAAGATACCTACCCCTCATACGACTACGTAGCAGTACTGATCTACATGCTCAATTTATCGAAAATATAATGACGTATGGAGATAATACGATCATTTATTAACCCGGATTTAATTATAGCTCTTACATATTATTTGCTCCGACGTCATGTTTATAATACACCATTCACACTACATATTACCGATAGGAACTAATTTGTGCACTGGCATGCGTCAGTCAAAACTGAGTCTGATTTAGGTAAAATTTCTTTATATAATGTCACCTAACGTACGTCAAAACATCAAATGGGGTTTAGAATGACGTGACGTTCAATTTTTTGCACAGGACACCCTATTATTTATAGAATGCCGTTTTGGTATAATACGATTATCCAATCAATAGGAAATGCAGCTCAGTAGAGAATGTATATATTAAAATCTTCAAATGTAGATGTACCCTCCATTTATAATTTGTAATGGTATAAAAACCACAAGAGCCCCTCATACATATACCCAAACAGTGTAAGTTATAATATAGTCGGCTCCGTCATATTCGCTTCCTTCTTCACAGATTTGATGTTCTATGGATTTTCATCGACAATATTTCATGGTTACTTGCATTTGCAAAAGCCAAAACAAAAATACTTTGGTATCTAAGGTCAGGATTATAAATTCTATGAATTGCAAATTTATTAGTCACTTCCCCGAATGAGCAAACACAACAGAATATAATCAACCAAAAATCTCATAAATTATTCAATCACATTTCCATGATATCCAAGAATTTCGGTTCCCACAGATTCCCAGAATTACGGTTATGTGAAAATCACATCAACAAAATATGTCAACATTAATAAAAATCCATTGACTAAATGACCTTGCATGCAATGGGGCAAAAACAACAAACAAAACATGGACACATTTGCTATTGGAGCCAAAAAAACAGGAAGATAAAAAACATCTAAAAACCACACCACATGAAAAAGAACAGCAGCCATAACAAAAACCAAAGGCAAAAAAAAAATATTGATTAGAAAAGCATTAAATCATCATCCATGTCCGTTCCACGTTCCGTAGAATAAAAAAAAAAACAAAATGCAATCCAAACCAACAATCAAAAGATAACAACCTTAAATTAAAGATTTATAAAAGCTACAAAAACAACAACAACAATAAAAGGGGTTTTATACTTTTTTTATACCCTCCAACGAATAGGGTTATGAATTTTTGATTTCGAATAAAAATATACATTTTAGCGGATTTCGATAAATTGTCACTTCGTGTGTGGTTCGTTATGTTTTGCGGTTTTGCCTGAATGATTTTTGGCGGCGTCTTATCGCATCTGCCATGGCTTAGACTGGGCCTGGCTGCATGTCTAACTGGCAATGAACTTCATTTCGTTTTGAGTCATCTGCACCCATCGATCGGAAGTTTTGTGGTTAGTTAGGAAAACAGAGTTGAATAAGAAATTTCCAATTGGGCATGCACGGGATAATAGCTGCAGACAATTAAAACCTCAGCCGACTAACATAAATCAATATTAAGGAAATGCAAATACAATATAAATCATTTTGTGAAGTTGGGTTAGGTTATATGCGACCAGTCATAGTAGACATGTGAACAAAAAAAAAAAAAATATTAAATAAAAACAAAAACTTGATTTTTGTCCCAGAATCATGAATTATTCATAAATATTTAATTGAAAATCACAGCACAGCAAGGAAATTATCATAAGTGGGAAGGGTTGACTTTAAAATACGGTTCACGTTATTGGGAACCGCGAATCAACGATAATCGACAATTTTGGGAGTCAGGGATAAGTTCTTTCGAATTTTCTTTTAGACATAAAACATGTAAAAACGTTGTTAAGTTCGGCCGGTCCCAAGTTTTTATTCCCATCGCCATGAGATGGCCATTTGAAATACTAGTAATCGTTCGGGACCTTCATAAATGACGGACCATGGTTTAATTTTTGGTAGGAAAATTTGGCACCCTATGAAAAGGAAATTTGAGCCATTTCGGTTAATAAACTTGCCCAAACTCCCCAAATGACCGAATAATGGGAAGTACATTTATATGGGAGCTATCATAAAAAGTGGATCGATATCGATGACTTGCTGGGAAATTTAAGTGCCAAACTACAGCCAATTCGGTTGAAAACGTACAAAAATTCTTAAAAATACCGAATATTTGGGTGTATCATTATATAGGGCTAATACCAAAACACGGACCGATATATCCAATTTTTTATTACCAAACATCCTAGGAGGGATAACAATGTATGCACAAAATTGTTATCTTAAATATTGCAAGCTCTATCGCACTATTATTCTCGATCCCCTAAAGTGCCACCTGGCAACCTTCCTCTTTCATAAATGTGGGTTAGTCCTTTTGGGATTCCCCACAGTCAATGGATTCTCGTGGCCGTCTCCATAGACTTCGGATTGGCTCCGCCTTCTCTTTACACCAGCCGGTGGAGATAATTTTTTAGGGTTTGGCATTCGTCTGCTCTTCCGGAAATCTCTCTAATGCCCTTCGCCGCTCGTGAGGTAGTGTAGTGTAGGAAAGTCAGGCTTATTGTAAGCATCAGTCTGTTGCTCACACTTGCTGCTTCGGTTTATTCTGGTCAGTTTCCGTATAGCTGCTTTATCCTTCTTGAGAGCCTAGCTATGTCTTTTCTCACTGCTTCAACCATCTTATCATACTCTTCACACCTGCGGCTTTCTAAGACCGTTATATTGGCTTAATCTAGTTTTCCGACACGAAATATTAGTTCCCGCCAGTCTCGGAAGATTGGATCGAGATTACTTTTTTCCCGGTGATTCTTAAACTCACATCAAGTTCTGACTATTGGCCGTGAGCTTGTAGCGATACTGCCGATTTCTGTTGAGAAAAATATGACCAAAAAATAAGACACTCTTACAGACCCAGGTGTAGAAGCCATTTACTGTCCTGCAAAATTTCTCACAATAATGATACAGGCTAATTAACAAAGTTGAAAAGTAGGAAAGCAGATCGGAATGGGCTGGACAGACATTTTTTTAATATAATTCTGATCCTCTTTCCTCTATAAAATTTATATATTTGGACGAAAAACATCGTGGACCAATATCAAAGTTCATATTATTAGATGTTTCTATTCGACACATTTCTTAAATACTAAGATTAAGTTCACATTCGTATTTTTTTCTAAAAGTTTAACTAATTTCCACTTACCTTTTTCTCTTTGCAGGATCAATTTCACCAACGCAGACAATTAAAACCGCAGCTTCCACATTGGATGCCAGTCGTAGATCTTCATTTGTAAAGGTGACACATTCTGACAAATAAAGAATACCACAAAATACCTGCCAAAGAGAAATAGAATAAATACAAGAGATCAAAATGAAATTCTCAAATGCTTTTAGCCACATAATATTTGTGGTATTATGTGGTCTATTAACGGTTTTAGCAGACTCAGTCGATACAAGAACACAACCGCAACAACAAGCGTCACAACAGCATACCCGTCACAATTCACAACAACATCATCATCATAATCACCACCAACACCATCAGCATCGGCACAACAGGAATCACAATCATCACCATCAGCTGCAGCCACAGCCGCATCAGAGTTTGAATCAACAGCCCACGGCAAGATCACATTCAAGTAAACAACATCACCTAACAGCAACATCAGGAGTGACGGTGTTGGGGGCAGCAGCAACTGCAACGGCGTCAGCCTCATCTTCCACATCGCCAGCTATCACCACATCCACAAATAACCACAGGCAATCAAGGAAATTAGAAACAAAATCTCAAGTGGAACTAATCGATGCTGCCATGAATATACCAAAGAATTTCAACAACACAAAATTGAAACGTTTAAATCAGGATGACTTCTATAATCGGGCGGTGCAGCGTCGTTTCAATGCCAGGCGTAATGCCCGCGATGAATGGGCCTACAATACGTACAATGTACACACGAATACCTACAATTCGTTGTTGCCATCGAATCATGCAGCGGGCAAAGGTGATGATAATAGCGATGATGTGGAATTTGTTAGTGCTACCGGTAAGCGTATTGTGCCAGATTGGTCCCACGAAGATGCCTTGGCTAGTCTTTGAAAAAATCTATTTAAAAAATCCACGCCTATGCCTTGGCTAGTCTTTGAAAAAATCTATTTAAAAAATCCACGCCTATGCCTTGGCTAGTCTTTGAAAAAATCTATTTAAAAAATCCACGCCTATGCCTTGGCTAGTCTTTGAAAAAATCTATTTAAAAAATCCACGCCTATGCCTTGGCTAGTATTTGAAAAAATCTATTTAAAAAATCCACGCCTATGCCTTGGCTAGTCTTTGAAAAAATCTATTTAAAAAATCCACGCCTATGCCTTGGCTAGTCGTTGAAAAAATCTATTTAAAAAATCCACGCCTATGCCTTGGCTAGTCTTTGAAAAAATCTATTTAAAAAATCCACGCCTATGCCTTGGCTAGTCTTTGAAAAAATCTATTTAAAAAAATATAGTCTTTTAAAAAAGCTCCACGCCTATGCCTTGGCTAGTCCTGAAAAAATCTATTTAAAAAATCCACGCCTATGCCTTGGCTAGTCTTTGAAAAAATCTATTTAAAAAATCCACGCCTATGCCTTGGCTAGTCTTTGAAAAAATCTATTTAAAAAATCCACGCCTATGCCTTGGTCTATTTAAAAAATCCACGCCTATAAAAAAAAATCTATTTAAAAAATCCAATGCCTTGGCTAGTCTGAAAAAATCTATTTAAAAAATCCACGCCTATGCCTTGGCTAGTCTTTGAAAAAATCTATTTAAAAAATCCACGCCTATGCCTTGGCTAGTCTTTGAAAAAATCTATTTAAAAAATCCACGCCTATGCCTTGGCTAGTCTTTGAAAAAATCTATTTAAAAAATCCACGCCTATGCCTTGGCTAGTCTTTGAAAAAATCTATTTAAAAAATCCACGCCTATGCCTTGGCTAGTCTTTGAAAAAATCTATTTAAAAAATCCACGCCTATGCCTTGGCTAGTCTTTGAAAAAATCTATTTAAAAAATCCACGCCTATGCCTTGGCTAGTCTTTGAAAAAATCTATTTAAAAAATCCACGCCTATGCCTTGGCTAGTCTTTGAAAAAATCTATTTAAAAAATCCACGCCTATGCCTTGGTTGGCCCTTTGAAGAAATATGCCTTGGATGGTCCTTTAAAGAAATATTTTTTAAAAAATCCACGCCTATGCCTTGGCTAGTCTTTGAAAAAATCTATTTAAAAAATCCACGCCTATGCCTTGGCTAGTCTTTGAAAAAATCTATTTAAAAAATCCACGCCTATGCCTTGGCTAGTCTTTGAAAAAATCTATTTAAAAAATCCACGCCTATGCCTTGGCTAGTCTTTGAAAAAATCTATTTAAAAAATCCACGCCTATGCCTTGGCTAGTCTTTGAAAAAATCTATTTAAAAAATCCACGCCTATGCCTTGGCTAGTCTTTGAAAAAATCTATTTAAAAAATCCACGCCTATGCCTTGGCTAGTCTTTGAAAAAATCTATTTAAAAAATCCACGCCTATGCCTTGGCTAGTCTTTGAAAAAATCTATTTAAAAAATCCACGCCTATGCCTTGGCTAGTCTTTGAAAAAATCTATTTAAAAAATCTATTTAAAAAATCCACGCCTATGCCTTGGCTAGTCTTTGAAAAAATCTATTTAAAAAATCCACGCCTATGCCTTGGCTAGTCTTTGAAAAAATCTATTTAAAAAATCCACGCCTATGCCTTGGCTAGTCTTTGAAAAAATCTATTTAAAAAATCCACGCCTATGCCTTGGCTAGTCTTTGAAAAAATCTATTTAAAAAATCCACGCCTATGCCTTGGCTAGTCTTTGAAAAAATCTATTTAAAAAATCCACGCCTATGCCTTGGCTAGTCTTTGAAAAAATCTATTTAAAAAAAATCTATTTAAAAAATCCACGCCTATGCCTTGGCTAAAAAATCTATTTAAAAAATCCACGCCTATGCCTTGGCTAGTCTTTGAAAAAATCTATTTAAAAAATCCACGCCTATGCCTTGGCTAGTCTTTGAAAAAATCTATTTAAAAAATCCACGCCTATGCCTTGGCTAGTCTTTGAAAAAAATCCATTTAAAAAATCCACGCCTATGCCTTGGCTTGTCTTTGAAAAAATCTATTTAAAAAATCCACGCCTATGCCTTGGCTAGTCTTTGAAAAAATCTATTTAAAAAATCCACGCCTATGCCTTGGCTAGTCTTTGAAAAAATCTATTTAAAAAATCCACGCCTATGCCTTGGCTAGTCTTTGAAAAAATCTATTTAAAAAATCCACGCCTATGCCTTGGCTAGTCTTTGAAAAAATCTATTTAAAAAATCCACGCCTATGCCTTGGCTAGTCTTTGAAAAAATCTATTTAAAAAATCCACGCCTATGCCTTGGCTAGTCTTTGAAAAAATCTATTTAAAAAATCCACGCCTATGCCTTGGCTAGTCTTTGAAAAAATCTATTTAAAAAATCCACGCCTATGCCTTGGCTAGTCTTTGAAAAAATCTATTTAAAAAATCCACGCCTATGCCTTGGCTAGTCTTTGAAAAAATCTATTTAAAAAATCCACGCCTATGCCTTGGCTAGTCTATTTGAAAAAATCTATTTGAAAAAATCTATTTAAAAAATCCACGCCTATGCCTTGGCTAGTCTTTGAAAAAATCTATTTAAAAAATCCACGCCTATGCCTTGGCTAGTCTTTGAAAAAATCTATTTAAAAAATCCACGCCTATGCCTTGGCTAGTCTTTGAAAAAATCTATTTAAAAAATCCACGCCTATGCCTTGGCTGAAAAAGTCTTTGAAAAAATCTATTTAAAAAATCCACGCCTATGCCTTGGCTAGTCTTTGAAAAAATCTATTTAAAAAATCCACGCCTATGCCTTGGCTAGTCTTTGAAAAAATCTATTTAAAAAATCCACGCCTATGCCTTGGCTAGTCTTTGAAAAAATCTATTTAAAAAATCCACGCCTATGCCTTGGCTAGTCTTTGAAAAAATCTATTTAAAAAATCCACGCCTATGCCTTGGCTAGTCTTTGAAAAAATCTATTTAAAAAATCCAAAGTCTTTGAAAAAATCTATTTAAAAAATCCACGCCTATGCCTTGGCTAGTCTTTGAAAAAATCTATTTAAAAAATCCACGCCTATGCCTTGTGAAAAAATCTATTTAAAAAAACGCCTATCTATTTGAAAAAAAAATCCACGCCTATGCCTTGGCTGAAAAAATCTAACAAAAAAATGAAACAGTATAGCTGTCATAAAAATCTATTTAAAAAATCCACGCCTATGCCTTGGCTAGTCTTTGAAAAAATCTATTTAAAAAATCCACGCCTATGCCTTGGCTAGTCTTTGAAAAAATCTATTTAAAAAATCCACGCCATGAAAAAATCTATTTAAAAAATCCACGATGTAATGTTGTCATTGAAAATTTAAAAAACTGGTTCCACAATCAACAAGATATATATTGGAATTGACAAAGAACTTGCTTCAAATGCCTTAGCTAATTTTTTTGTAAAAAAATCTATTTAGTTGTTTTTGTTTGCTGCTTGTAAAAGTAGTGTAATTAAAAGTTTATGGTTTATTTGTCATCTGTGTTCATAAACAAATTGCAATTTATGTTTGTCGTACGATTCGATATTGAGTCTGGTCAGGCATGCAATTTGTGATTATATTTAAGATGTTTGCTGTAGGCATGAAACTAGACGATTTTAATACGATTTTCAATTGGAATTTACATAAGAATTGATATACATATGTGATTATGTATTTCTGCTACATAAGAAGGTTCAAATAAAATATCCCTTATACAAATTTCTATGACTAAAAGTCCTTCAATAGACGACCTCTTACTTCTATTGGAGGAAGCCCTACTGCTCCTATGAAAATATTTTGCAAGGCTCCTGATAGATATAACAACAAATTGAAACTATATATGCTGAGTCTATTCCTATAAGATCCTTGCTTTTAAGGCATATAGTTATCAAATACATTAATAAGAAGAGGTCCATAGTACTACTAACAGTTAAAATAATATGTTTATAATGGGTTATATCATTCAACCGATATTATAAAGATATAAAAAACAGGTTAGTATTTTTAGGCGTTCTTGGCTTTGAAAACAAAAAAAAAAAAAAAACATTTCAGACAAGTGAAAATGGTGTTAAGTTTGACCATGTAGAAATCTATCAATCTTTAAATCCGTGTATTGAAAAATATTTTCAAAAAAACTAATAGCCTGTTTCTCTAAGACGACAAAAAAAAATCAGTTTTGGTTTTCCTAAAATTCACGCCTATGGCTTTGAAACATTTAATTGACTCCATTCTCGGGGTCAATATTTTTTTTCCTTAATTCGATTCTACACTAATTCAAGAATGTCTCTACAAAGTTTCAAGTGAAAATCTCAAGAACTCTTGAAGATATAGCCGATTTATTGTGTCAGCATCAAGTGACGGCTAAAGGGCTTCTCAAGCTTTAAACGCGTTTTTCTCTGTTGCGAATGGCGGGCACGATAACTCAAAAACTAATAACCCAGTCGATTTCAAATTCTTACACGTTTCTCGGTGAGTGTATAGCAATCGTATGAGCTAGGATAAAGCCAATCGGTGAAGATCTTCCTTATTTTTTAACTTGGTTTTTGGTTAAAAATCGTCGATTTTCCAAAAATATTTTTTCAAAGGCCGCCATATTGTTAATTTTAGAGCGAAGTCAATAATCCTAGTTCATACGAGAGCCAGACATTTACTCTTTGTAACACCGTTAGAATTTTCGAATTCCGATGTTCCAGTGAGGAGTTATCATGCTCGCCATCAAAAATAGGGACTTTTCTTTAATTACAAAAAACAACAACAAAACAATAACAAAATTTTTTTGACTCAAATATATATCTTTAATTACAAAAAACAACAACAGTTCCCTTAAGAAGACCGATCCTATGGCTTGGCTAGTTCTTAAAAAAATTCACGCTCGTGGCTCCGACAGGATTAGAAATTATTTATTTATTCAAAAAATCCACGCCCGTGGCTCCGACAGACTTAGAAATATTTATTTAAAAAATGTACGCCTATGGTTTGAC